CACACAGAGACACACAGAGAGACGCAGAGACACAGAGACAGAAACAGAGACACAGAGACACATAGAGACACACAGAGACACGCAGAGACACACAGAGACACACAGAGAGACGCAGAGACACACGGAGACACACACAGACACACAGAGACAGAAACAGAGACACACAGACACACAGACACACAGACACGCAGACACACAGACACACAGACCACACACACACACACATTCACAGAGACACGCACGCTCGCACGCACGCACTCACTCACACACAGACACATACAGACACACACAGGCAGCAGGCACATGCAGACACACACACACACACACGCACACAGCTTGAGAAACACCCACCTGAATCATGCAGCTGCACCAAAGCCGCAGCTTGCTCACTGTGCCAGCAACCAGCCGCGTGGGATGCACGGATGGGGTCCACGGCTATGTCCTGTGTAAGTCAACCTCTTTGAACATGTATCCAACACATTGTTTAAACAGCCTTACGTGCTTCCTTTTACAGGGGGCCGCAGTTATCCCTTAAAGGGTGCGTTTCAGTATGGTTTAACCAAATTTCGCCGCACCCGCCTGCAGCTCCAAGATCTCCAGATTTGGTGACAGTCGCAGCACCTCCAAGACCAGCGGGTACAACTCCCGCAAACACTTGGGCTCTTCCAACCTGGAAGGACTTGTTGATTCTGAGTAAGGGGGACCAAATCGATGTTGTTGCTTTTCCAACCCCAATTCGATTTGCGTGTTGACAGTCCATATAGCTGAAAAAAGCAAGGGTCTAATAAGGAACCCTGAAGGGGTCTGCCGCCCTTTCATTCGACTTGGGCATCAGCCCCTCACAAAATCCCAACCCAGACTCGATTTCGGACTTTAGACCTAAGACCTCTTTGGAGTCAGCTCGCCTCTAATTGGTAGTTTGGATTGGTGGTTTGGTGGTTAAGGATTTTTCCCATTTACCCTCTACAAGAATCAGGGGTTCAAATCCCCAAACCCCCAATCCACCAACTAAGCAGTCCCTCATTGAGGGTGTCGGTCCATAGGCCAACCCGCCTCAACGAGAGCAAGGGCGATTTCGGAAGACGTTTCAAAGCTACCACCACTTCCACGAGGATCTCCTCCCGTTCCCGGCGAGATTTGTCCAGCCACGAGAGCCTCGCATCTTGAAAGGGGAGGGGGGGGGAGGGAGGGGGGTCAAAATAGAGGGGTCACTTAAGAAAGACACATGGCGGCTGTCCTTTTGGCTTCCTTTTAAACCCCCCCAAGGAGCACGAACGCAGAAGCAACAGGAAAAGCCAGCCTCTTGGAAGAGACGAAATTCAACAGAGACAAATGTCACAGCGAGAACCACATGTTGAAGCATAAAGTGTCTTGTAAAGTGTAGGGGATTCGAATTTTCATGGCGACGGCATCATGAAATGCTTGGCCGTTTTCGCCAGGCTTCCGACTTGCGGATGGCTCTCTACGTCAAATTCTGGTTAGATATTGATCCTTCTATGGACTGTGGGAGGCGGGAGCTCGATTGGTCGACACTCGAGTTGCTTTGAAATCGAAGTGGGCAGGGCCCCTAAAGGATAAGTCTTGGCCAAATTGAAAGCCACATTACCAGCTGCTTCAAAGGCTGTCCACGTGCCGAGGTGATTTGGAGGTGTGTCACTACTCGAAAGACCCGATCTTGGCACACATGCCACCTCCCTCGAAAGGAGTGTACATGTGTGTGTGTGTGTGTGTGTGTGTGTGTGTGCGCCTTTTGGCCGTGTTGTTGTGTGTGTTGCTGTTTGGCGTTGTCGTTGTGTGTGCGCGTCGTTATGTTGTGCGCGTTTTTTTGTGTGTGGCGTGTTTGTGTTGTGGCGTTCTTAAAGTGCGTTTGTGGCGTGAGAGGTGCTGTGTTGTGGTGTGGTGTGTGGTAGTGCGTGTGTGCGTGTGTTGTGCTGTCTGTGGGCGTGTTGTGCGTGTGCTGTGTGCGGTCGAGTTTTGTGCTGTGTGCGTGTGCGTTGTTGCCTAGTTGTGCGATTAATGTTGCTCGCGTGTTGGCGCATGTGACGTGCGTGTGTGCGTGTGTGTTGTTGTTTCTGTGTGTGTGATTCTGTGTTTCTGTTGTTTCTGTGTTTCTGTGTTTCTGTTTTTCTGTGTTTCTGTTGTTTCTGTGTTTCTGTGTTCGTCTGTGTTTCGTGTTAGTCTGTGTTCTGTGTTTGAGTGTTTGCGTTGTTTGCGTTGCTTGCGTGCTTGCGTGCGTGCGTGCGTGCTTTCTTGCTTGCGTGCTTGCGTGCTTAATTGCTTGCGTGCTTGCTTGCTTGCGTGCTTGCTTGCGTGCTTGCTTATTTGCTTGCTTGCTTTCGTGCTTGCGTGCTTGCGTGCTTGCATGCTTGCCTGTTTGAGTGCTTGCGTGCTTGCGTGCTTTAGCGTGCCTGCGTGCCTGCGTGCCTGCGTGCCTGCGTGCCTGCGTGCCTGCGTGCCTGCGTGCCTGCGTGCTTGCGTGCTTGCGTGCTTGCGTGCTTGCGTGCTTGCGTGCTTGCGTGCTTGCGTGCTTGCTTGCGTGCTTGCTTGCTTGCTTGCGTGCTTGCGTGCTTGCGTGCTTGCGTGCTTGCGTGCTTTGCGTGTTTGCGTGTTTGCGTGTTTTTTGTGAATGTTTGCGGTTTTTGCGTTGTGTTTGGTGTTTGGTGCTTTGTCGTGGTTGTTTGCGTGCTTGCGTGCTTGCGTGCTTGCGTGCTTGCGTGCTTGCGTGCTTGCGTGCTTGCGTGCTTGCGTGCTTGCGTGCTTGCGTGCTTGCGTGTTTGCGTGTTTGCGTGTTTGCGTGTTTGCGTGTTTGCGTGTTTGCGTGTTTGCGTGTTTGCGTGTTTGCGTGTTTGCGTGCTTGCGTGCTTGCGTGTTTGCGTGTTTGCGTGTTTGCGTGTTTGCGTGTTTGGCAGTGTTTGCGTGTTTGCGTGTTTGCGTGTTTGCGTGCTTGCGTGCTTGCGTGTTTGCGTGTTTGCGTGTTTGCGTGTTTGCGTGTTTGCGTGTTTGCGTGTTTGCGTGTTTGCGTGTTTGTGTGTTTGTGTGCTTGCGTGTTTGCGTGTTTGTGTGCTTGCGTGTTCGCGTGTTTGTGTGTTTTTGTAGTTTTGTGTTTTTGTTTTTTTGTGTTTTGTGTGTGTGTGTGTGGTTTTGTGTGTTTTGTGTTTTTGCGTTTTTGTGTTTTTGTGTTTTTGTGCTTTGTGTTTTTGTGTTTTTGTGGTTTTGTGTTTTTGTGTTTGTGTGTTTTTGCTTTTTTGGCTTTTGTGTTTTTGTGTTTTGTGTTTTTGTGTTTTTGTGTGTGTGTGTGTTGCTGTGTTCTCATCTATTTGGTGGCTTTGCGCGTCAAACAAAGCAGGATATGAAAAACATCAGCGCCAACCTCTGCCCCTCAAGTTACAAGGCACTGCCAAGATTTCCCAAAAACCATACTGCACGAGCAAACATGATCAACGACAGTATCAAAATCAAAACTACAAAAGCCCCACTTTTGGGCCGAGCGGTAAAATGTGCCACTATTCACTATTCAGTCCAGTGCTCTGATGGGTTCTCAAGCAAATGTGCAGCCCGACTTCGCCCTGGTCAAAGGCGCACTTCAGGGCCTTTGAGGCGCAGGAAAGTTGCTTCGCACATTGCGAGGGAAGGAAACAGCCAGCTCCCCATCTGCACAAAGGAGGCCCAATCTGCTTGGCCATGGCTCAAGTCTTGAGCCATCCGTCGGAACTGGTCATCCAAGCCCGAACCTGGCGCGCACCAAAGGCCTCCCAACTGTTGGGATGGGTTCTCAGACACGGGGTTCTCGCTGGAGAACCACTGGAAAATGAATGTGTGTGTAGCATCGTACGCATTTGGGGCTCAAAATCGGTTTTGGCTTTGCTGTTGGTTCCCCTTTCCACCACCAAAACATGGGCTTCCCTAAGACAGCTCGGCCGCAGACCTCCGACCCGGACTGCACCTCGGCGAATGTCCGCGCACCATATTGAGGAGCTTCCCCCAATCTTGAGAACTCCGCTGTCCTATTTAAATCGTACGGGGGGGGGATGAGCGGGATGATGCTGGATGTTCGGGGGATGGCGTACATAGAGAGTGAGTCCGGAGTCCAATTCAGCGCTTCTCACGGGAACGAGCCTGGCACGCCGAAACACCTCACTCCAACCGTCCAAGCCATCGAGCACGCAACTCGTGAAAGGCGCCAGAGGCACCAGCAACGATACTGCCCCTGGGAAGTCAACCATTCGGCTGGTCAAAAATCGGTACCCAACATAGATCCCTGAGTGGAAACATGGACCAGAACCTGCGGTCCCCTTCCCATTCGGGCATTCGGGCACAGAAATACCGGTTAACATCTTGGTCACTTGTGCCGCTCAATCACTCTAACGCCACGCATCGAGCTCGATGCGTCCGTTCTTTCGTCGGTTCAAAGCAACCACGAAAGATCATCCATTTGCTGGTGGCTTGAAACTGCCACTTAAAGGAACTTGAGGAAACAGGCCCCAACCCCACAAAAAATACAACCAAACAAACAATAGAAAAAAAAAAACACCAGCGATTCAGCGATGCACTGGTGGTTTCCGTTTTGTCGTCCTTGGTCCTTTGGGCTCCCTCCCCCGCTGAGCTCCGCCGCACTGCAGGAGCTGCGCCGGGTCAACGTGAGCCTGGGAGAGTCATGCCACATGCATGGCACAAGCCATACATCTGCGGATGCCTATAAACGTGTGTAATACATGTATACCTTTGTATGTATGTATATGTATATGTATATGTATATGTATATGTATATGTATATGCATATGTATATGTATATGCATATGTATATGTATATGTTTGTGTATATGTATATGTATATGTATGTATGTATGTGTGTATGTGTGTAAATGTGTATGTGTGAATGTGTGTATGTGGGTATGTGTGTATGTGGGTATGTTTGTATGTGTGTATGTGCGTATGTGCGTATGTGTGTATGTGTGTATGTGTGTGAGTGTGTATGTGTGTGTATGTGTGTGTATGTGGGTATGTGTGTATGTGGGTATGTTTGTATGTGTGTATGTGCGTATGTGCGTATGTGTGTATGTGCGTATGTGCGTATGTGCTTATGTGTGTGTATATGTATGTATGTATGTATGTATGCATGTATGCATGTATGCATGTATGGCTGTATGCATGTATGCATGTATGCATGTATGCATGTATGCATGTATGCATGTATGCATGTATGCATGTTTGCATGTTTGCATGTATGCATGTATGCATGTATGCATGTATGCATGTATGCATGTATGCATGTATGCATGTATGCATGTATGCATGTAGGCATGTATGCATGCATGCATGCATGCATGCATGCATGCATGCATGCATGTCTGTCTGTCTGTCTGTCTGTCTGTATGTATGTATGTATGTATGTATGTATGTATGTATGTATGTATGTATGTATGTGTGTATGTATGTATGTATGTATATATATGTGCATGAATTACATATTTGTATAGGCACTGAGCTTGTAGTCATACCCAAAAGGCTGCGTTGCAGTGCGATAAGTTACATCGTTGCACACATTGCACACGTCACACACACACATTACACATTACACACACTGCATCGAGATCTGTTTACACATTATGCAACATGTGTCCATGATGTCCTGAACGTCTATGCACCTACGCTGAAACAAACAAATGCACAGAGATATGACCAAACAAGCAGCGACAAAAAAACACAGCGACAAACCATTGTCAGTGTATCACTACGTGAACTGCTTGTGGAAATGACTGTTCACCGTCTGACCTGGCTGCGGGTCACAAATAGGTACCCAACATGAAACCCTGACAAATGGAAACACGGACGAAAGCCTGCGATTCCCTGGTGGTTTCATTTTCACTCATACCCAAATTCCGTTCTTGGTTGGTTCAGTTTCAACGGGATCCGTTCCCAAAGAAAAAATGTAAAAGACAAAATGGCGGAATTGTCTGGGCCACTGGGCCACGAATCCCCTTCAAAAGCCTCGCTCTCGCCGCATCCCTTGCGCTCCGCGCTAAGACGTCGGCCAGTCGAAGCCGAAGGCCCGGGTCTCGCCGGGCGGCAGCTGCAAGCCCGACACCGCCTCGGAAGCGCTGGGGTGCGCACTGGGACCGGAAGGGGTGGCTCCTTGGCGCCCTAGGGACGGAGCCCTGATTGGTTGGGCTTTTTTGAGTCTTTTTTGGGGGACCCCCTTGTTGGCCTGGGCTGTTTGAAGGGGAACCCAAAAGGAAAACCATAATTTGGTTGGGAGGGTCCAACCTTAAAAAGGACACACCCTGATCTCTTCTGAACCCGGGCCGCCATGGAGTGCCCCTAGACCCTTCGCGAAAGGCTCCTTATGATCCGTGGCTTTGCGCCTCTTTTTGCAAGTACCGCTTCGATACAACGCGCTCGTGCCAGGTTCAAGACTTGCCCGTTGCGACAAGCTGTGGGGCTTGCCACCAATCAACAACCCCCTGGACCCCTTCGTGCTCTCCCATTCCGGGGATATGGTCTTATTCATTGGGTGACACGGCTTGGGGTCTAAGAAATGGCTATTGCTCAGCCAGCCGGTGCCCAAATCACAGCTTGAGCTTGATCAAGCGCATCAACCTGCATGACAGAAGTGTGGAGCTTCTCTCAGCGGGGGTGCGAACCGACAACTTGTGTTTGCACAAGTCCTGCGGTTCACAAGGTTGATGACTCACAGGTTTTCTGCCACACTGTCCGCTTGACATTAGCATGTTCGTATTTCCGCTGAAGGACATGAGATTTACTTATTTTATTGTTGTGTTTGTTTTGCGGGGTATTTGGCGTGTCTTTTGTTAGGGGACCCCCAAATTGGTGTTCTTCCTTTTGGCTTCCCTGCAAACCATGGAGAGGCTCCTTCACAAGAAAACAGCCCCAACAATGTTGACCCCATATTAACCAACCTTAGTTTATTAGTATGGGGGTGTGCCCCTCCAAAAGCGGGCTGATGCCCCACTAAACCCGGAAAACAACTCTGTAAGCTGGGATGATATGGGGTCAACATTACTCAACTTGGACGAACTGTTGAGCTTGTGTTCTGTGTCGACCATTGGGATTTTGACTCACGGCTTCCCCGCTGGAGCTGCTGGTGAGGGAGCCGCCGAACCCGCCTGCGCCATATTTTTTTGCAGAAGCGGATTTTAGGCCATTTGGAGCGATTTTCTGAAGCCGAGGCCCGGAAATGATCAATCTTATCAACAAAACAGAACAGGGGGACCCTGGTAGTGCGCTTTTTGCGCGTTTTGAGGCTTGCAGTCAACAAAGAGAGATGCGCTCGAACAAACACAAGTGGGTTGTTTCCGTTCCTGGCTGCGGACTCACGTATGCGGGGAAAGACAAAGGCGCGCGCGTGCGCCACAGTCTCCAGACAAGCAGCAAAAGAACCTGCTGGGGCATTCCGAGACAGTCTTGCAAAACTTGCTGCGGTAACGCCAGGGTTCCTAGTGAATCTGACAGACTCTTTCGGCGGCGCCTCGCTTTTCGGCGGACTCGGACTCGATTGCATCGGCTCGTTCCCAGCATACCTGGCACAAGGAACGCCCAAGGCAGCCTGCTCAAACGAACTGTGCCCGATGATTTCCGTCCCCAGAACTGACCCTTGTATAACTAGTGGCTAGAATATACATATATATATATAAATATGAATATGTATATATACATTTATATGTGCAGTAGGTAATATATAGTATGGTGGTATATCTCACTCATTAACCTTCTGGGGGTGTTGAGCAAAATGAGCCGCAGTCACAGTCAATAAACGGTCCTTGCACCTCCAACTTGGGTAGTGTCGGGAGACATCATTTTTCGAGAAACCAACGGCCCTTGTACGTTTTGATCGATTGGGGGTCACATCATGCCACGTCAACTCACCTTTTAGGCTGTGATTGCACATGAGTGGGTTGCGCAAATCCATGCGTGCGATCCACGCAGAGAGTACATCCGGCAAAACACGCATTCGATACAAAACGCAGAGCGTTGGTGACGGCGCCTCGCAACACAAATTCGCACGGCGCCACGGCGAGAGCGATCTGACGGGCAGGATCCACGCAAAGGGTTCGTCCGGCAAAACACACATTCGGACACATTCGATCCGAACACACGCGGTCTGCGCGGAGGATTTGAACGCACCCCAGTGGATCGCTCAGAACCCTTGAGCATTGTGGGAAACGAGCCCAATTCTGACGTACTCAAGCTGTTTTTGCTCCAAATAGGCTATGTATAACCTGTTACGTGTTGAAACGGGTGAGTTTGGTTTTGGTTTGCCTCTAAAAATTATCCAGGCAAGTGACTCCAAACAGTGGTACCTGCAAAGGTTTCCTTGCGAGAAGTCTTGTAGAGGATGCTCCCTACAGTGCCCCACAGATGTTGAACAGAACTCTTGTAGAGGATATCCTACAAAGAGATCCTCTTGTGCAGAGATCCTGCAAACATCCACCACAGACATCTTGACACTGGTCCTCGCGTAGAGATTCTCTCGACAGATCTTGCCAGGTCCTGCGAAGGTTTCATGTCGAGACATCTTGCAAAAGATGCTCTCTACAGATCCTGAATGGAGATGTTCTCCACAAATCATGCAAAGATTCTTCCACAGAGGTCTTGTCCAGGAGCGTCTACAGTAGTAGAATTTCTTTCGGACAAATCTTGCACGGAAGTTCTATACAGAAGGCTTTTGTTTGAGGAGCACGTGCAAGACCTTCTAGCGAGACTCTGCGCGCATCTGCTGCAGCTACTGCTTTCATGGTACCTGATCTCTCTTGGAAAGATCTGCGCGCAGGATCTCTGGATAGGATCTCTTGATAGGGCCTCTTGGCAAGAAGGATCCGGGAGAGGATCCTCTACATATTGAAGTTCTCTTTGAAGCTCTCTGTCCAGGATCTACAAGACCTCTTGCAAGAGCATCTTGCAGGTCCAGTGCTTCGATGTATTTCGCACCGCGCCACAGCCACAGTGATCCGACCCACCCAAAAGTCCGCAAAGAGTTCACTTGCGATGCTCAAACGAACTCGCACCGCGCCACGCGCCAACGTCCGCAAAGGGTTCGCTTTCGATGTTCAAGATGCGCACCGCGCCACAGCGAGAGCCATCCCACTCGCCCAAAGTCATTTCGATGTTCAAAATGTGCACCTCGCCGCGGCCGAACCGCAAAGAGCAACCTGATCTACTCCGGCCTTTACTATCACCGCGAGACCCCCTTTATGTCGTTTGGAGAATAGCCCGAAAAAGAGACTCTTAAAATAAGACAAACAAAAAAAAAAAAATAAAAAAAAACAAAAAACAAAAAAAACACAAAATAAAAAAAATAAGACAAACAAGACACACCCCGGTGCACCTTTTTTGAGGCCTTGTGGTTTTTGAAGAAAGCAGAAAGGGAAACCACCATTTTGGGTGGGCGGATCCAACGTTAAATAGAAACCTGGACCTTTCGGCTCGGTCCGCGCCTGTCCGCGCTGTGCGCCAAGATCTCCGAGAGCCCGGAATAAGCCTGCGACCCGGCGAAAGGGCGCGTGTCGGTGTGTCGATTCTTTTCAAGGACCTCCGAAAAAATGACGGGCTCGGTGTCGGATTTTTTGGGGGGCCCAAACTGGATTTCAGGGTTCCTTCTGGTTTTTGACACAATTATCAATTGAGTTACCCTGACACTGTAAAACTTTGTCGGCTTCATAGGACTCTATCCATCCCAACAGGTGCTGGATTTTGCGCAGGTGCAATAAACATCAAATTTAAGCAAAGCCCCAAAACAGTGGGATTTAAAAAAACAAGCTCGGGCGATATCCCCAACAGCACCACACCCTCCCCAGAATCTTCGCGGAACGCCTTACAACCGATGTTGCTGAGGATGCCGCCTTGTAACTTTATAAAGCAAAGCTAAGAGTGACAGCGCAATCTCGCCCTGATCGGGGCACAATCGGGGCCCGATCGCGCAATCAGGGTCCGATCAGGGCCCGACGGTGCAATCGGGGGCCCGACGGTGCAATCGGGGCCCGATATTATAGCTCAACGCCGGTTTTTCCTTAGGATGTGGCCTTACAACTGTATCTATAGCAAAACTAGGCGATGCCAGCTTGGTACAGTTGACGAGGCCCGACTGAGTCGGGCCCCGATCGGGGCGTGATGGCGCAATCGGGGGCCGATCGGGCCCCGACGGTGCAATCGGGCCCCGACAGTGCACTCAGACCCCGACCTGGGCCCGGGGAACCTCGCAAACCGTCCGTGTGGAACCCTCGTGGAACTCAGCGTGAAACTTTGTTGGAACCTTTCCAACGGGGCTGCCCCAAAGCTTTTGCAGAACCTGGTGGAAACCTCGTGCAGCGTTTTTGAACCTTACCCCATAGCCCTCGCAGCCTCGTGAGCCCAAAGCCCACCAAGTAATATACTCAGCAATGGCAAGCATTTACTCTGCTGCGCCATGAGTCTCGCAGCGACGTGATCTGATTTGCCACAAAGCCAACATTTCGGGCCGCGTTGCCGTTCAAGTGAGCAAGTGACAAAACAGTGAAAGTGTGCTGAAAACCATTGATTTAGGTTTTGCTTAGTGTTCCGCCCATGAGCAAAGCGATCTTAATCCAATAACTTTTCAGACGAAACCACGGAACCTTGCAGAACATTTCTGGAACCCTTGGTGGAACATTGTGGATCCTTTTGGAACCCTTGTGGAATCCCTGCAGAACTCTGTGGAACCCTGTGAAATCTCAGGGCCGCCCCGGACCATCCCACAGCCCTCGCACAATCTCGTGGAAACCTGAAACCCTCATAGAACCTTACCTCAAACCACCCCGGACCACCCCGCAGCCCTCGCAGAACCTCGTGGAACCCGGCAAGAACGCTGCTGGAACCTTCATGAAACCATACCTTGCAGAACCTGGTGGAACCCTGGTGGAACCCTCGTGGAACCTTACCTCAAACCACCCCGAACCACCCCGGAGCCCTTGCAGAACCAGGTGGAACTCTGGTGGAACGCTCGTGGAACCTTACCTCAAACCACCCCGGACCACCCCGCAGCCCTCGCAGATGGTGCAACCCTGGTAAAACCCTGGTGGAACCCTGGTGGAACCTTAGCTCAGGGTCGCCCCAAACCACCCCGGAGCCTATCTGGGCTGAGACCCCAAAGCTTTCAGCTGTTGGGGAAAATGTTCGGCAAAAATCACGAAAAAATCAAGCTAAATCGCTGGAAAAGGCCAACGGTCGCTGCGGACAAAATGGAAGCTGAAGAGCTAGCGGTTCGATCAACGAAGCCTTGCTAACTTTCAGCACTTTTGCCGGGGATATGTCAAAATTCCGCTCAACTCTCAAAATTCGGTCTCTCTTTTTTGGAGGGAACCCGATTTGTTGTCGTTGTTCCAGGGAAAACCACATTTTCTGAACACCAGCATGTTGGGGGTCCAACCTTTAAACGTCACGTCGCCCTGACTGGGAACCGCCCAAGTCACCATCGCTTCGGCCTCGGGGTTCATCAGGGCCCTCAACACGCCTCATACACGAAGACGACGTCAACGGCTCGCAGGGTGTCAGCCCCTCTTGGGGTGGACTGCTGGTTTGGACCGGTTGGAAGGGTGGTTCAACTAGGGTGATTTGGACTGGCGGCTTCCTTCTTGGCGACTTGGACTGGTGGTTCGGAGGTTGAGCTTCCCATCTACCCCCCGCAAGAAGCAGGATTCAATTCTAAATCCAAACCAGCCGAAGGGTTACCCAAATGTTTCTTTCGGAACAACGAACACCTGATCGTCCTGTGAAGCGATCGAAACCTACTTAAATTTGAAACTGCTAAACGGGTCCCCTGACCAACCTACACACAGGCTGCATCATGAGTTCTCACCAACTTCACTGTCTGCAGCTTGCAACCCCAGTCTGGACTCAGCCTACCTCTTCAAAGTAAATGAGCGACGAACTCAGTTGAACTCTGAAATGCTCATGGCTCAAACGAGCATCTACAGGCCATTTTAATTCAGATGGCTGCTGAATCCACTGCAATACGAACCAAACGCATCCGGCAAGAACCCTGAATCAGTGAACTTGAAGCGCCAAATTATTGCCCCAACTAAACTTCACACGCAGATCAGGCGGAGTCAAGCTGTGTTTTTGGTTTTGGGTCGAATCAAACAGTTGGACCTGTGTGAACCCGAGAATCGGACCTGGGAGAGACGGCGCCAAATCCAAACTGATCCCAGTTGAGCTTAGGGGTTACAAACTTTGAAGGGATACCGACTTTGAAGGGATACCAACTTTAAAGGGATACCGACTTTGAAGGGATACCGACTTTGAAGGGATACCGACTTTGAAGGGATACCGACTTTGAAGGGATACCGACTTTGAAGGGATACCGACTTTGAAGGGATACCGACTTTGAAGGGATACCGACTTTTAAAGGGATACCGACTTTGAAGGGATACCGACTTTGAAGGGATACCGACTTTGAAGAGATACCGACTTTGAAGGGATACCGACTTTGAAGGGATACCGACTTTGAAGGGATACCGACTTTGAAGGGATACCGACTTTGAAGGGATACCGACTTTGAAGGGATACCAACTTTGAAGGGATACCAACTTTGAAGGGATACCCACTTTGAAGGAATACCAACTTTGAAGGGATACCGACTTTGAAGGAATACCGACTTTGAAGGGATACCAACTTTGAAGGGATACCGACTTTGAAGCGATACCGACTTTGAAGGGATACCGACTTTGAAGGGATACCGACTTTGAAGGGATACCGACTCTGAAGGGATACCGACTTTGCAGGGATACCGACTTTGAAGGGATACCGACTTTGAAGGGATACCGACTTTGAAGGGATACCGACTTTGAAGGGATACCGACTTTGAAGGGACACCGACTTTGAAGGGATACCGACTTTGAAGCGATACCGACTTTGAAGCGATACCGACTTTGAAGGGATACCGACTTTGAAGGGATACCGACTTTGAAGGGATACCGACTTTGAAGGGATACCGACTTTGAAGGGACACCGACTTTGAAGGGACACCGACTTTTTGAAGGGATACCGACTTTGAAGCGATACCGACTTTGAAGGGATACCGACTTTGAAGGGACACCGACTTTGAAGGGATACCAACTTTGAAGGGATACCAACTTTGAAGGGATACCGACTTTGAAGGGATACCGACTTTGAAGAGATACCGACTTTGAAGGGATACCGACTTTGAAGGGATACCAACTTTGAAGGGATACCGACTTTGAAGCGATACCGACTTTGAAGGGATACCGACTTTGAAGGGATACCGACTTTGAAGGGATACCGACTTTGAAGGGATACCGACTTTGAAGGGATACCGACTTTGAAGGGACACCGACTTTGAAGGGATACCAACTTTGAAGGGATACCGACTTTGAAGCGATACCGACTTTGAAGGGATACCGACTTTGAAGGGACACCGACTTTGAAGGGATACCAACTTTGAAGGGATACCAACTTTGAAGGGATACCGACTTTGAAGGGATACCGACTTTGAAGAGATACCGACTTTGAAGGGATACCACTTTGAAGGGATACCAACTTTGAAGGGATACCGACTTTGAAGGGATACCGACTTTGAAGGGATACCGACTTTGAAGGGATATTTGACCTTTGAAGGGATACCGACTTTGAAGGGATACCGACTTGAGACAACTCTTCTACAAGTCGCAACCAAGAGTCGGCGTTTAGACGGCCAAAGAACATTAGGTGTGTCTTGGAATTGGGGACTCGCACGAGTGTCTTGGATTCCCCCCTGTGCTTCCCTTTCCAACCCCAACAAAATAAACTCCTCGAAAGACGACCACCCCTTCGGGAGGGACCCCTAACCCATGGCTTTCGTGAATCACTCGCCCAACCGGCCATGAGGGCGAGGCTGTCCACATCGAGCTCATCGTTGGCGTCCGCCAGGCCAGCCCAGTCTTGGTGGCAGACCATTAAAAAAAAAAAAAAAAAAAAAAAAAAAAAAAAAAACGCAATCCGCCTGAAACCCGGCTGCAGGAAAGCCAGATACAAACAAATGCCAATTAAGCCCCCGTCAGCCGTCAGGCCAGTCTGTGTTGCCAGGAGCGCCAGATGCAAGTAAGGATTCTTAGTGTCTGTGTGCCAGAGCTGGACAAGCGCCTGGGTGTTTCCCCGCCAAGAGGCAAAGCAACATATCGACGTCCAAACCAGCTTCCCCCGCACCAGCCGCAACGAAGCATGAACAGTAAGGTCGAAGCTTTGGGAAAGCAGCAGCCCACAGGGTGCTGAAACAACATCCGCAACCAGCCAAGGCACATCAGTTGCAGCGCAGGAAGCACAAACAACATTAAGAGAAAGAACCATTTTCTGTTCGGATTTTTGCCGGAGAAGACCAGGACGCCCACAAAAAAAGGAAAGCTCTGCAGAAGAGACACATCTCGGAAAAAGCCAAACTTCAGAACAGCAAAGGCGGAAGAAAACTCCGAAGAACTGACTGGACTGGACCATAGGACGTTGCGCGGAATTGAGCCGCCTAGGGCTGTGATGCCACCAGCCCTCAAACGCCACTACGCCGATTCTGGGTGTCTGCCCAGATTCGAACAGCAGCGGCGCAAGTCTGGGTGCGAATGGCTCGTGGCAGTGTTCATCAATTGTTCAGAGACCTTACTGGGTGTTGCCAAACAAGGTGGACCCCCTTACAGGAACGCCCAGAAAGCAACCATTTATCCAAGATGGCTTCTACCTTCAAAGCACTACCCCCTGGGTAAATTGGGGGTAAACACCCTTTATAATGACTGTGATAGTCTCTGTATATCCCAAAGCCCGGCGGGTAGCTTTGGTTTGGAAACCGAGGACGCCTTCTCTCCCGTTCTAAGGTGCGCGCTGATCTCTGAGCTGCTGTCCCAACGGATCGTCGCCCTTGCGAAGCACAAACGCGAGCAGAAGAAGAAGAAGAAGAAGAACAAAAATGCCGGGGTCGACGTGGCGTCAAGCATTTTAGAAACTACTCGAACCTATATATATATATATTATTCTTGTGTATGTGACATGTGTACATATTATACATAAAGTTCAATCAGGCAATATGAATTTGGCCAGGCTGGCCTGGCTGGGAAGCATGGAAGCTCACAAGCAAAGCACACGCGCCTGAATTCGATCTTTCATGGGTTGCTCCCCAAGTTAACTTAGAATCCAAAAGCCTCTACAAACAAGGTTCCATGAGAACCTCCAGGGAGTGCTGCCAGCGACTCAGCGACTCAGCGCCAGTGAATGCTACAGGGCATCCGCACGCTGAACTCGAAGAGGCGCGTGTGCGGAGTGAGGTTGAGGCTGTACCTCAAAATAGGAAATCCCAATCTGGGTTGACGTTGGAAGGGGAGCAAAATTCTCAATTTTTAGCAGTTAAGTGGATTTGGATTTCAACCACTAAACCACAATAAGCAAAAATGTAAAATGTTTCCCAACAACAACCATGCAATGCTCTACTCATAACCCCTGAGCTAGCGTTGGGCGCATGACCAACCCACCCCTCCGGCATGCTTCAAGAATAAATCTCCAAACAAAGTCAAACAAAAAAGCAACGCAAGCACCGATTCGCTATGAACAAAAAGCCAGCCACCCAGTTGCCAGTGACCCTGGTGGAGAAAGAACAACTTTTTGGGATTGCCCACACCAAAAATCTCGGGTGCCGCTGAGTTCGGAAGAAACGAGGGCCGGACTAGCACGAGCATCAACGCCACAATCACGCAGGTCCACCACTTCCTGGCTTTTGTCGGGTCTAACGTTGACAGGCCCACAGCAGTGGGAGCCCTTTGGGGCGGAATTCCCTCTGGTTTCCATGTTGCTTTGATGCTTGGTTCAAACAGCATGGATGTTGTACGGTTGTGTCTTTTGTCTTTTGGCATGTCCACGAGACGCTGCCGTAGCACCCAATTAACAAGCACGGTTTTGTTCGGCACGGTGGCAAGCCCCATGAAAAAGAGACAGCAACCGACGAAAGGGTACCAAGATCGACCGGTGGTAGAAATGCCCTTGGGCTCAAGGTAGAGTCCATCGCCATATGGGACATCATGCACAGACAATGCAGCTCGTGGCCCAACATGATTACATTCATAGGAAACCCGCTATTGAAGTGCACATGGCTCAATTGTTTACGTTCATCGTTCAAGGAACCCGTACACCCTGCTGCCAAAATGATGCCGCTGGGAATACACAGCTAAAGTGGAAACAAAAAAGAACGAGAAACTTGCAGAGACCTTGTTTGTTTTTTGGTGTTTTTCCCCAGATAGCTGAAAGCTATAGGGGTTCTAACTTCTAATAAAGAAGGGAAAGTGATTTGCGAGATTGACAGCTTGGTGCTAGGGGGCGTGCAGTTTCGGGTGCTTGTGTAGGTGCTGTTTGGGGTGCTGTTTGGCACATGGGATGCTGTTTGGGGTGCTGTTTGAGGTGCTGTTGATGGTGCGGGCGCATTTTTGCGAGATTGACGGTCGGGTGCTCTGGGAGTGCTAGCTATTTGAGGGTGCTGTTCGGAGTGATGGTGCGGGCGCGCTTCCGCGGTTGATATCAGGGGGGTCTTTGCTGTTTGGGGTGTTGGTTGAGGTGCTCTTGGTGCAGTGCTGTTAGAGGTGCTACCGTGCAATCGTTGGCATTTGTTTCGCTATCTGGGGTCTATTCTGGTGTAATTTTTCCTTATAGAGCTGTTTCAACTACCCACAATCATGTTGTTTGCAACAGCATCATGCTGTGCTCATAGACTTGGTTCGCCCAAATGCTACAAAAACGTGGCATTGCTTCACATGAACTACGAGCGATCCCAAGCCAGCCCAAAATGACGTGCTCGTAGCCGCCTCTCTAGTGCAAAGGGTCCGGTGCCCGCTGTGGCCAATAGGAATGCCATGGGTGGAATCCGCAGCTCATCTAACATGTTGCCTAGAGTTAGTGACCCTACTTGGTAGGCGTCCCAAGTAGGGTGTTGGAGGCATGGTTTCGTGGATGGTTCTGTTTCAGAAATTAAATTGCAGTGGGGGTACCTCGCTGCCTGACCTGGCTGCATGCCCGAGGGAGCCTCCACTTCATCAAGAGCTTTCTGGCATAGCCGGCATGCCTGAGACCGGAAGGAATTTCCCGAGCACCGCATATTGGTTTTAAATGATTAAGCATGATGTCTTGCTGTAGAGCCCCTCAATGACTCAAAATGCGCCAACGGTTTTCCTGTTGGTTTCCAAAATAGAAACAGCCAAGGGGTACCCTCAAAAAGCAACACGCCCATTCGCCCAAGGCCTTTAGCTAAGGGCCGTGAATGTCGCAAGTCAAGCACGGCGACATGAATGGCAATGTTCCTATCTGCAGCTTAAGGGCGCTTATATATATATATATATATTGCATCCACCTCAAACATCAGCGTATCAAAAGGAGGCTCAAACAAGATTGGACAATCAACGGTGAAAATCACCGGGAATAAAAGGACCGCTGAGCAAGCCCCTTGATTTTGCCTCTCCCACACGCACCTCCTCCAGATGAGCAGCGCTCATTACGCGGAGCGGATGCAAGGCATCTCGCTAGCGTTTGGATAACTGCTGAGAACTGGTGCGATGTATCTTCGAGATGGGTGTGTCAAAATTAGTCACCACCAGGATATGGACCGCAGGTGTTAGTCCATGCTTCCATTTACCAGGGTTCTATTTTGGGTACAAACTTTTGACCCACAGCCAGATGACGAGTTGCCAGTAAAGCTGCATGTCGGACGGAGTGAAGTCTTTCATATGATCTGTCTGTCTCAGTCGACCAAATTTGACTTTGACAGCCTTGCTTTTCTTCCTGGCTAGTGTTTGCCTTTGTTGTCGACAGGATGTTCTGTGGTGGGCATGCGTGGCAAAAAGAAAAAAACGCCTCCAGGGCCCTTAATAATGTCTTGAGCATCCACAAGGCAGCCGCTTCACAAAGTCATGCAAACACCCAGCTTCCAACCAGCCAGCGATGCCAGAGTTGGCAACAAGAAACGTGCGCGAAATACCTGGTAAAATGGGAAATGAGGCAGGCCGTTGCAGCAATGTGGCTCTCATGGTAACATTGGCACTGTGGATGGTTGTGACATCCGTTCGCACCGACTTGAAGCCATGGTTGAAATCAAAACGTTTGTTGGTATTTGCTGGGGGAATCGAATCATTCCAGGGTTTCTGAACGGTGGTGCGAAATGGAGGTCGTCCATCAGGATGCCAACCCTGCCACACAAGTCCGGTCAAAACTGAGCCCTGTCCAGCCCTCGCAAAAAAGATCCTTCTAACTTTCCTCGCCCGACACTTGCTAAGCTCCTATCGCCAGCTCTTCCTCGCTGGATAGTGAGAATACTTGTGGCGTGCCAAGACACACGCTCGCGCCTTTCAACTGGCCTAAGTTGAACCTTTCTGACCAGCTTTCTGCACCCTCCAGCGCATCCCAGCTCCCACAGTAGGTAACCAACATGCTTCCTCTTGGTTAAAGGGCGGTTCCCTTGGTTCCCTACGCAACCAGTGAAATGGAATCACTAGGCCCTATGCATCCGTTGCCAGATCACTCACTTGCGTCAGCTGGGTGGCACCAATAGCCTCTGCTTCTGCAAGGGGGTGTCAAGCCTACATGATCATGTAGACACTTCCCCTGGACGCAATCTGGGGGTGTCTGTTTTTGAGGCCACCCCTTTTTTGCGGGTTTAACAGGAAACCACAACGAAAACCTTTGCGCCATTCTGTTTCGAACCGAAGGACAGACCCACATGATCATGTAGACAGTTCCCCGGACATCTGGCTGGCTTTCAGCATTCATGCCGGAGTTGTTGAGACGCGAGTCCTCAGCAAACAGAATGACCTCCTATAACTTGAGAAGGTCTCAAACTATTGGTTCTAAGCCCAGGTCGCACAAGAGCTCCGGCACAAATCCACACCCGCGGTGTGGTTTTTGTTTGAAAACGGAGTCTCCATGGGCAGAAGTTGTCTCTAAACAACAGGACCACCAAGTTTGGTTGGTCTCCTTTTGGCGTCAAGCCAAAAGGAGACCAACCAGGGCCCCTTACAAAACATGGTACCGGGCGCTTCTCATGACATCGGGTGCCAGTTCCCAACATGGTAACGGTGTCCTTGCGTTCTCCATTTAGATACCAACCAAAAGGGAGTCCCGAAACCCAGTTGGCTGTGGCTCAAAAAAAGGTACCCAAAATTGCACCTGGTATATGGAGATAAGACCAAAACCGGCGGTTTGCCCGCAGCGGTTACATTTTGAGCCACACCCATGGGTTCCAGTTCCTACATTAGGCAACCATTTCCTGGTGCTTTCCATATTCGATACCAACCAAACAAAAGTTCCGAATCCCCTTCCGAAAAACCTCGCCGCTCCGAGCGGCCGAGTCCCACCTCAGACCCCGGCCTCTTCATCTTGGCTGCGGCCTCGCGGACTGCTTTGATGCCGTCCCTGGCAGCATCCTGCCGCGCCGGCACGCGCCAAAAATGCCCAACTTGTCGGATGTGGCTGTGGGTCAAAACCAATAGTACCATTGTGGGGTAGCTGCACCACCCATTTTCGTCTATTTTAGTGGGGATTGGGATGTTCACTGGGGGTACGGGATTTTGACCCATGGCCATATCTCTGTGTGAAGCCCGCGCCCAGTTGGGCGGAGCTAGGAAACCCAAACGCTCCCTTGAACGGACCCGGAAAATCCCGAACGCAAACATGTCACTCCGGGCAAATAAGTCGTTCAAGCCTCAGCAGGTACCCGGAAATCTTGGGGGTGGATTTTCTGGGATCGGTCCTGAGCTCCCGCCCACCCGCCCCCCTCCCCCCAGGCGAGCCTCCATCTTGTCGGCATCCTCTTGCGCTTGGCCCTTGTCCACGCGGCACGGGCCGCCTTGCGCCGGGCGTCCGGCCCGTGCGATTCGGCACTCATGGCCATCTGCGAGTTGCTTTGCTCGTGGCCACAGGGCACGTGCCCCTTGTGCGCCAGAGGGCCTTGGCTTCCCTTGAAACCGACCTGCAAAGAGCACCCTCCAAACAAACCCACCTGGACTCCTGGGAGGGCAAGCCAAAGTCGAGGAATGCCGAGCATGCAAATGCAACATCAAGTGCGGTCGAGTCGAGCTGGCTTCCCTCTAGCTACTCAACAGGGACACATCAAGCACCAGCAGTTCAGCAGGGAGGGTCAAAGATCGTCCGATCACCTCGGAGTTGCACAAACAAGATCCACTCGAGAGCAAATCGAGAAGCACAGTTTGGGAGACTCCGCCCGGGCTTATTGCACCACCGACCTTCCTCAGGGACCCCATCGGTAGGGTGACATCCCACCAGGTTGAGACGGCGCGGCGCCCGAATCCAAAACGAGCAAACAGGTCAGCCCCTGGGAAGATCCAAACAAGCAAAGAACCAAAACAATCCGCAGTGTTGCTCAAAATCAATCCGCGAGATCGATATGCCAGATGGAACCGCATTCCGTTGAGGTGTCCCACGGAGTCCCAAAAATATCCCACCATTTCGAGCAAGCAGTTCGAAGAAGCAGACTCTCCAACGGGGGGGGGAAGGTCCTGGAAATCGATGAAATCGAGACATTCGGAGCATCGGCGAATCGGCTTAGCGCCCTGCGCACGCACATAGTCCTCTGCCGACCTAGCCATGTGCAATCCCCAAAGCCCTGCAAACCCCTCAAACAAAAGAAAGGGTGGTCGTGGGGTCCGCGTGTTTCAAAACAAGCAACCATCTCGAGATTGCCAACAAAATGCAAAACAAAAACCATAAAATGTCAGACCCTATGTCCCTAACCGAAGTCACTTAGGGTCTTCAAAGCGGTTGTTCTGCGAATCTTGAAAATCTCGCTTGTTGGGTCGAAACTATCAATACCTCGAGAATCCCAAAAATACCTCGCGCATTCCATTAAAAAAAAAAACAGACACTGTGTCCCTATCCTGAGCCACGTAGACTGCGGTGTAAATGCTCGGCATGATGCAGCTAGCATTGGATAGAGGCTAGGACGATTTTAGGTTTGCAGGGTAGGCATATGCTGAGACATCCAGACATGTGCTAGACGTATGGTACACACACGCTAGAAATACGTGAGCTTCAGGCCAGAAGTATGCAAACAAACAACGCATGCTAGACTTAGTAGACATATGCCAGACACATGCTATAATGATGGCAAAGTGCGAACATATACTGCGTAGGAACAAGCGAAGCCGACCCTCGTAGACACGGACAAAATTGCTAGATATGCGCTAGACATGCTAGCCTGCTAGAAAGCTAAGCTTAATTACTGTAACAAGTTGGAGCTGTGGTGTCCAAATTAAGAATATGGCGGATATATGCCTATACATATATGTATATATATATATGTATTATACATAGATATTATGTATATATTCTAGGGACAGGCCAGGCATAAAGGTGTGTTAAACACATGCTGCCATTCCTTGGAATAATGTCAAACATATGTAGGATATAGATGGATATAAGATTACAGGCAGGCGAAAACAAGTATTACGCATTGCCATTTCAACTAAGATGCACCTGTAAAAGAAACAACAGTAGCATGCGCAGCATGTTCCACTCAAGATGCAGCTATCATTAAATACTGTGTTTCAAAACACAGGCCCTCGGCGGGACAGTCTCAAAAAAACGGTGGTTCTCCCTGTAAACCGAGCCCAACATGGATGGAGAGCTCCTAGTGAACACTTGAAGGTATTGTGACTCCAGGCTAGGTGAGCAGCGCTCAAAACCCAACTGTTGGTTCCACCAAAATGGTCAGGATTGCTACAGGCAACCACCAAAAACGGCGCTTGGCACCTTCAAAGATCCATCGCAAATGTAATCTGTTCCCCCTATTAATGAATGACCCCAATCAATAAAAAATGGAAATCCGGGGCCCGGGACCAGATTTCCACTCCGCACAATTGATTTTCCATTGCGCCAATACTAAACCAATACTAAAGTCTTGGAATCCTTATTAGGGGGCACTTTTAACAAGCTTCCAGCCCCACGTTTAAAAAGGTGGGTTCCCCAAAAGATGAATTCCCCAAAGAAAACATGTCCCCAAAAGCTGTCTAGCTGCGACTGTCTCTCTCCCGTACATGCTGGCTAATTAACCTGCCTGGCTGCAAACAAACAACCAGTAAACTGAAAAACAAATATAATGATACATAAAAATTCCTTATTAAACCGCTTACTCGCGGACCTTACAATTCAATCCATTTCCTCCAAATCCTATGTGAACCCTCCCATTGTTGGAAAGCAAAAACAACCCAACCCCAAAAACCCCAAAAAATGGGGGGGGATTTATTTATAATAGGGGGGGGGGCCGTATTTATTAATAGGGGGAAGAGATTAGCCCTTGAACTTTCTAGACAGGAGGGAGCCATTGAGACTCCAACCAAACATTTGATGGGAGGACTTGACACCTGGCATCATTTGCTTGGGATCCCGCCTGCAGAAGCTGCATCCAAGCCCAGGTACACTTCCGCCTGATATGTGGGCTCCTCAGGCACGAAGCTCCAGCCAAGGAAGAGCAAACGCTTCCACCGTGGAGCTTTGTTGGGCTCCAAAATCGTATTCAAAAAGCAGTCCTGTGCAAACGAACGGAACCGCGTCCCCCGGGGTTTTTTCAACGGTGAAGCTGGGTTCCACTTTTTGACTGCAAGGTACGCTTGATGGAACCCAGGAATCGGATTCCCTTGGAAATCACCGGGTATCTGCGTCGACCTCGGTGTCAATCATGAGGCGCTGGATTCTCCGGGGCCGCGACGCCGCTGTGCCGGGTGCGGGCATCAACCACCTCCATTGGTGCGCGGAGCCCGGCGCTCCGGAGATCTCTGGCCCCATTCTACCGTTCTCAAAGTCAACCCCCGAGCAGGTTAAAGGGGGCAACCCACCGATCCCAGTGGCTGAATTTCTCAAGTTGTCTGGTCAAAATGGGGGGGTGGGCTCATAAAAATCACAGAGCTCACGCGAGCCTTGGCCTTCCCATTTAAGGCGCCCTTCTGGGCTCCGTGTTGAGCCACGGCCCTACCCTCATCCTCGCCGCACCATGCCTTCGCTTCCACAGACTCGATGCCGCCCCTCAGTCGATGTCGGGAGGCGAACCATCCCAGCCGGCCACTGAGCAACACGTTTCCCAAGCCCTACAGGCTACATGGCACGAAAGAGAGCTTCCTCTGGCCGAAATGCGCAGCAAAAGCGCGCGAGACCGCGGAACTCCAAGAAACGTCTATAAGGGTTTAGGGCATGACTCCGATGCATGCAAAAGAAGGGGGGTCTTGGGGCTCTTTTTTTGCGGAGTCAGACCCCCCGGAATTCCACATGGCAAGTCTTTTTTAATGTCGGACCCCCCACAATGGCGGTTGTCCTTTCGGTTTTCCTCTAAAACCCAGCAAAAGCAGGGTACCAACTCAACAAAAAGGAGCCACGCCCGGGGTTGAACGCTCAGAGCTGCACCCCGGAGTGATCACCGCTCGCTTGCGCGGCTCACTCGCTGACCTACCATGGATCCGCACTGAAGGAGGGCTTCCGAAGCGGTGGTTTTGTTCCCCTTGGTGTCCTGGACAAAAGGATGCCACTATTTTTCCGAACTTTTTGTCTTGAACAAGGGGAACCCATCTATTTGCGATACGCGGAATCCCACAATAAACCATGCCCCAAGCTTCCAGCCAAAAAGAACAAGCACAAATGCCGCTGGTGACGCCTGGATCTGGAAGCTGACGGTCGCGTCTTGGAGGGCTTCCTTCGCGCGCCAGTATAGCCGAAAACATAAAGTGAAACTAGCTGCCATGCCGTCCAATGTCATGCGCCATCGGAATTCGAGTACTTACCCACAAAAAAAAAAGGGGTAGCTTCCCCATTCTTTCCAGGGATCCTTCTTTCTGGAAAACCACCAAACACCCTGGGGAACTGGCTGGTTACTGAAAATGGCTGAAAAGAATGGAGAATCAACCGCTAAAAAAGCATATGAAGGGTGTACGCCGTACACCCTCGTGTCAGTGGTTTAGAACCCCTGCCTCGGCGACCGCGAGCTCTTCTGCGGGCTTCGCTTGCGGCTGTCGTGGCGGGGGCTGTCGCGGCGCCGGGGGCTGTCGCGGCGGCGGGGGCTGTCGCGGCGGCGGCTGCTCCGGCGGCTGTCGCCTAAGTCGATGCACGTGGGATGGAAGATTTCAGCTCGGGGCCCTGTGGAACTTAGTGAGTCATGTCCAACCAATTGTAGGTCACCTCTTAAAACTAATGAGTCGCTGACAACAATGGTTGCTAGTCTACTATTGGGATCTGGAGGGCATGGGAGGGACAACCCAAAACTATCCGCAAAACCAAGGGTGCATCACACTGTGGACAGTGACAAAACTCTGGAGCAGTTGGGATGGATGAAACCCAACACTGGCGGACAAACTCAGCAACTGGACACCCCTTTTACTATGCGGATCAACAACTTACTGGTGGTCGGATCTTGTCCCCTGCAGCGTAGCGATCGCCCTGTCTGAGAATCGAGCGGCGAGAGCGCGACCTCTGGCCAAAGCTGGTGACCGCATGTTACTCCCCAATTTGACAAAGAACCAAAAACGGGGGTTCCCCCAAAACGAGCCTCCGAAGCCACGTCTCTGGGCTCTACTTATCTGCAAACCTTTTAATTGTCCGCCAAAAACCGGGGTTTTTGAGAAGCCAACCATTTTGGGGGGTCCCCCACAAAAAGATACAACCACTTCAAGCACAATGATTGGCCACTTGGGGCAGACTATGCCCCCAAGTCCGCGCTCCAGAGTCGAATCGACCCCCCCAAAAAAATAATAATAATAATAAAAAAAAAATGCGCCTCCGCCGCGAGGGGGAGCGCCTGCCATATTTTGGCACCAGCGAACCCATCCATCAAGAGGGGTCAAAAGGCGTCTGGCCAAAGTTCCCCCGCTGGGCCAGGGAATCCATCAGAGAGGCGCAATGGCAAGTCCAGACGCAGGAACACACCCGGGCCCGCGGGCCGGAAAATGAGATTCGTAAAGCAACCCACCGGTCCGTAGAGATTCGATTTGGCTGCTCAACATTAAGGAGCCAGGGTTACGCAGGTGAACTCTTTGGTTCCATTTACCAAGGGGGCCATTTTGGTACATTTATTTCAGCCACAGCCATTTGCGAAGGGCACGCATCGCGCATCTCAGAGGTGACTGCGCCTTCGCGACCGCGAGGAGGAGGCCGGCATGGCGAGATGTTTTTTCCCACGGGTGCAGTTCAGTTGGCCACAAGCCCCGTTTTGTGCCGAAGTCTTTGGCTCTCGAATTGAAGCGTCCGGAAAGTGCCGAGTGCGTGTCATATGCGTCCGACGGATCAGACTTCAGGGTCTTGTGCCTGAACTGAGCGGAAGCGATTGAAGCGGCAACTCGACTCCTCTGGAAATCACCGGATGGGTCCAGGCCAACACAGTCCCGATTCGGCCACGAGCTTGGCCATTGACCTTCCCTTGGGCTTGGCCTTGAAAAGATACAGGCTCTCTCTACTGCCAAGAGTAAACTCTTTTGTCGGTCGTCAAAGCAGGCTGCAGCAATGGAATACTTCCCACCAGTATGAGTAGGTCAGATTCTAGCTTTGCGGGTGTTCGAGCCATTGACAAGTTTCTGTGACCGCAAGGAAGGAAAGCAAAACTAACTCAAATGGGCATGTGTCAACCTAGGGCTTCAAAGATTGGGACGTGTTTTTCCTTTTTTCCAGCATCAATCTTTAAAAGACCACTCAAAGCATCACGCCCCAATCAGCGGAGCACAGTCCAATCTGCTCTCACGGCTTTCCGAAGTGTCCAGCTGAGATCGAGCTCCCGGGTGGTGTTTTTGTTTTACGCGGTCGTGCTATATCCCCCTCCCGTTTCATGGACACTAAGAGGCCAATTCAAGACAACAAAATAAAAATAAAAATAAAAACGACTCCCTAAACAAAAAGGTTGTTTTTTAGACTCCAAGTGTCCACCGGACCCCCGCACCACACTTTTTGGTACTAAAGATGCTGGGAGCACTTCACCTCATGCCTGGGCAAATGCGAAAAAGCGGGTCGTCTTGATGTCTGCAATGCTCTACTTCTGAGGTGGTTACAAAGCTAGGCGTTGCCCCCAGTTCTGCTGTGTTTGACCACACATCGGGTGACCTGTTGAATGGATTTTTTTTTAAAACAAAAGTTTGGTTCTAATGAAAGCGATCGGAACCCGATGAACGGCTCCCCTTCACCATGGGGTCGAGATAAGAATCCGAATGTGAGTAGCCCACGAGAGGGTTGAGTTGTTCGAGTAGACGTTTTGACCATGACATGGCTCGAAGCGACCCAGCGGGATGTTGGATATGAGATTTGCACAACTCGAGATCCGCACCAACACCTCCAAGCGGGAAAATCTGGCAAAAAAAACCAAGACGCAACCCTAGAACAGGGGAGATCCGTCTACACATATGTGTTTTTCTTGGCGGGGGGGGTCCGTGCCGCTTCGTGTCTGAGGAGCCAGCGCCCTGCATCCGCTGAAGCTTGCGCCTGAGCCAAATGGGTCTCTCACTGCCCTGCGGCACTGTTCTTCTCTTAGTGAGGGGTATTCCGCTTTGGGGGTCCCTCGCTTCCGGGAGGACTCCCCTGAACAATACAGTCATACACAGGGGAGGTTGTTACTCAGGTCACATGAATCTCATTGGCCGAGCGAGCAAAGGCGGGATGCGGCTCGACCCGACTCCGGGGGCCCCTGCTCGCCCACACTCGCTTCCAGTTTCAGGCCCAGCTCCTTCCAAGCTCAAAATGCCCTTTTGCTCGAAACTCACTTCAAACTGGCAGCCAAAAGGTGATGTTGAAACCAACCAGGCCAGGGAAATATAGGAAACCCTGCACCCTCGGATGATTCGCCCCCGCTCCAGCCAAAGCGCGAAGATTCATATGTCCCCTCCATGCCCCATAGTTTCTAGTCATCAGGCTCCAATGGATGCCCCTTGCCGCTCAAAAGGTTTTAATGACACCATGCTATATATATATATATATACATATATGTATATCTATCCGCCGACCCCTTTCTCCAAAGGGGAGGCGCATGGGAAGGGTTTGTCTTTGTCCTTGTCTTGGTGATGATTATCATCACCACTGCATCCGGATCATCATCATTACCGTGGCGCTCTTTTTTTACGTTTCAAGTGTGCCGTTAGACCCGACTGGAAATGCAGAGGATGCGTTGATGGTCATGAGAACTGCTGCTGATGCTGGGGATGCATAGTGACGACGTGAACTGCTGGTGATGCTGAGGATGCGCAGTGATGATGTTCATCATCGTCATGATCATCATCATCATCATCATCACCAGCACCACCACCACTACCACCACCATCATCATCATCATCATCATCATCATTTTCATCATCATTTTCATCATCATGTTCCTCATCATGTTCATTATCAAAACCGTGGCGCTCTTCTTTTTCACATGTGTTTCAAGTGTGCCGCTAGCCGCTAGACCTGACTTGAGATGCAGGGGATGCGTAGTCATGATTGTCAAAATAACTGCTGGTGATGCCGGGGGTGCATGGTTCCATCACCATCACCATCTGATTGCA